CACAAATGCAAAGAGAAAGTTGTTACTTTGCCATGTTTTTCAGGGCTTGCATGTTCTAGTAGAATAAATACAGGTAAAAATATAAGAAGGGCCTTTTCAGACTATGTAAAGGTTTGGATTCCATTCCATATTCTCTGGGCTGAAAGACAGTTGGTGTAATCCTGACAGCATCAGTACAGGTCACGCTGCATAAACAGCTGTCTGTCTAGACTTTTCCATAACTTCTGTGTACTGTCTTAAGAGGATGTGTTAATTCCTGTAGCCATTTCCCAACATCTCACTGCCACTAAGCCACAAGCCCGGACATTAGCTTTTAAGAACACTGAGTATTCTGTATTTCTTTTCACATTATATCTGTATTTACAAAGCAATGCCTAAGTCATAGGGATAGCTGAAAAAAATTCTAGAAATCTAACCCTGTGGTCCTTGGGCTTCTCCTCTGTCTGGGAGAAGCTCTGCCAGCAGCTGCAGATCCAAGCAGTCTTGTGAATCACATAATAAGGGAGACTTGAGGAAGGTACCTGTGTCCAAAAGAGGGATGGTCTTATATGCAGCAGGCTGGAAAAAACCTCAAAGATAGCATGAACTGAGGCATTTGTGTCTTATTTTCTTAATTTCAAGCAGGCAACTAAGTATAAATTACATCATTTATGAATATGCAATTTTAATTAAGTTTGTTAAATGTCAAATGCTGTAATTTTAAATCTAGCAAATTATGGAGCCCTTGCATATGTTTACCACTGCACCCTGCTGGATCAGGCTGGTTCCCACTAGAGAATTAGTAGCTGCAGGTTTTTGACCATCAGATACTGAATGATCTAAAACTTCTGTTAGACGAGTCACTTCCTACATACAAACTAAATACTAATGCTTGCTGCCCACAAGATGATGTATTCTAAAAAAGGCACTTATTTTAGTTCTAAGTTCTGCTTTTAGGAATAGAGGCACATACCCAATGAGAAGTTCCGACAGTTTGACCATCAAATTTCAGGGAGAGGTGACAACTGCCCTGCTGTGTAAAAGTGCCCAGGGAGGAGCTATTCTGAGACTGGACCAGAAAAGCAGATAAAATACATATTTTGCTGTAAGCACATCAAGTTTTCCTACAGATTCATGAATATAAACATAACACATGCTTCCATGCCTTTCTGAATGGAAACCTCAATGACTTCCCTTTCTGGAGCTGGCAGCATTGTCTTTCACAGTATATAAAAAAAGAAAGGTGACAGAATTTGCTCCTTGGTTTGCCCTTGTCATTGCCCTCCTCTGCACAGATTTCCTGCCTCAAAACTGTTTGAGTCCCAGCAGCAAGGAGGGAACACTATGGCAAAGACCATCCAGCATGACATTCCTGCAGCAGGGAGAGTCCCTCTGGGCACAGCTGGTTGGGAAGGGCCAGCCTTCAATCCACATCCAGCTGAGATCTCTGCATGGAACTTTGTCGTTTCTGATTACCTGTGTGGTCACTCATAATATATTGTGTCAGCAACATTTCATTCAGATTTTGGGGTAAACACAGAAAGGTTCAGAAAAGTGTCATTTTCTTCAGCACACCAAATGTTTCATAAAGCCAGAGCAGAGGAATCATTTCCAATCTTAAGTTTTGTTAGTGGTAGCCACAGAAGTCATTACCTTGCAAATTATTTATTACTCTGTGGCTCCAAAAATAACAAACTCTCTCAAGAATCCAAAACAAGAAAGCAGAAACTTCTACACTCATAGCTAGTCTCATTACCAGGCTTATGCACAAGACGACTTTGTTTCATATAAATGGTATGTATAATTTTATTAGAAAGAAATATTATTTTGATGTTAAGACATCAAATTATAAGCAGAAGGATAATAAAGAATTTGTTATTTTATTAATATTAGAAATATATTTAATGGGAGCATTTGCAAGAGTGTGTAGTGATAAGAAAATTCTGATTGTTAATGGGTTTAACAAAATCATGAATCTTGAAAAATGTTTTCTTTCAATACTGTGCCAAGTACATAAAGATGTAGTCTTTCTTGCAAAGCTGTAGTTCTGACATGCATTAATTCCTATATAGGCAGGCTAAATAAGAAAAGGATAGGAAAATTGATTGTAAATGGAATTAGGGTGGTGCCTGGAGTTACTGTTAGCATCACAGCTTGCAAAGCCTTCTGCCTAGAAGTATTTCAGAGTTAATGTACCAAGTCCCAGCACAGCAACAAAAGGTGGGGATGGGTCCAATTACCTGGTAATTTCACACTTTTAAAAATCCATATGTTTGTTCCTTTTACACATTCCAATAACTATACTGTTCACTTTATTTATATATAAAATACTAAAATGTGTATAAGATGACTGTGATTTTATGATGTATTCATAATAACAAAGATATTTTTTCTTACACTGTTGGTAGCTGCTTTTTATTACACTTTGCCCTTTCTCTGCAACTGGAAGAAACGGATGGCAGGAAATCTCCTTACACTGTCTTCTAGCACTTTTCTTGGAGCTGAACGATACTGTCGTAGTTCTTCACCTCTGGGACACGAGCTTTTGCAAGCTGGGGTGGGTTTCAGACTTTGGGGAATAAAGCACACAGCCACCCCTGCCCTGAGGATGGCTGGTGGCTCCTGTGCCACATCAGGGCTACACGAGGCTGGATCCAGCACCGCAGCTCCTGCACAGCCCTGGATGCGGCACGGCGCTCCGGAGCTCTCCGGCATCCCGCCACCGCTAACGGGGAAATACCCGATATGCGGGCAAATGTGCGAACAAAGTAAAATGAAAAGTATCTATAAATCACAGTGAAACACGAGGGGGGAAAAGGAAAAAAAAAAAAAAAAAAAAGAGAAAAAGTTGTAATAGTCATAGTAACAACCGTCTTCAGTTTTACAGTTTTAGAAAGCAGATAGTGGAAGCAAAGTGTTAAAGATAAAAACTATAGTTAGCAGATCTAGGAATGAAAAGGTAAACAAAGGAGTTCCCGGTTGTACTGAGGATCTTGCTAGTAGTACTGTTCCGTGATAGCATGAGCCTAACAGAACAGAACTGTCAAGAATTCGGGGAAAGCAGGATCTCAGTTACTTGATGCGTGCATTTGGGGAAAGCCATATGATAGTCGTATGACACGATGCAGTCCTTTTCCTTTTAACCAGCTACACAGCAGTGTATTAAAGTCAGACATTTTAAAATCTGCTTGTTTAATTGGCTTACATCCGATAGTTTTTAGAAGAGCAAACAGAGGACCTCCGGGACCCTGGACCGCCGCTGCGCGGCTCCTTCGCTCCCGTGAGCATCTCCCCGCTCGGCCGGGTCTGCCCCGGCTCCCTGTCCCGCTGAGAGATCCCGGCTCCCTGTCCCGGCTCCCTGTCCCGGTACGCGGCTGCGGGCTGAGCTCCGTGAGGAGCAGCAGCGCCAGCAGGGCGAGGGAGGAGACCGTGTCCCAGCATGGAGCGCTGCGTCCAGTTCTGGGCTCCTGAGCGCCAGAGAGACGGGGAGCTCCTGGAGCGGGTCCAGCGGAGGGTGGCAAAAGGAATTAAGGGGCTGGAGTGTCTCTTATGAGAAAAGGCTGCGGGAGCTGGGCATGTTCATCCTCCAGAGGAGACTGAGAGGGAACCCCATCCATATCTATCAGTGTCTGCAGGGAGGGTCAGGGGATGGACCAGGCTCTGCTCGGTGGTGCCGAGCGGTAAGACACGGGACAACGGGCCGAAACCGGTGCACGGAAGTCCCACTTGAGCAAAAGGAAGAACTTTACCCGTTCGGGTGACAGAGCACTGGAACAGATTTCCCGGAGAGGCTGTGGGGTATCCTTATCCGAGATACTCAAGAACTGCATGAACGCGTTCCTGTGCCGTGTGCTCCAGGACGACCCTGTTCGGGCACGGAGGCTGGACCAGCTGTCCCGCCGTGGAGCCTCTCCAGCCTGATCCGTTCCGGGCGGCGGGACGGCGGCTGTGACTACAGCTCCCAGCGGGCTGCGCGGCGCCCGGGCGCTGTCGGGAGGCGGCGGCAGCGGAGGCCGAGCGCTCGGTCGGTCGGCGGGATGCGGCTGTCGGTGGCGGCCGCCATCTCGCATGGCCGCGTCTACCGGCGCCTCGGGCTCAGCCCGCGGTCGCGCCTGGACCTGCTGCGGAACCTTGTGACAGCGCTGGTGCGCCATGAGCGCATCGAGACGCCCTGGGCGCGGGCCGACGAGATGCGCGGCTACGCCGAGCGGGTGAGCGGCGGCACCGCGCCGGGCCGAGCCGGGGAGCGGCGGGCGGCCGAGGCACCCTGACCCACCGCCTCCTTCCTCACCCACTGCCTCCTTCCTCCCCACAGCTCATCGACTACGCCAAGCGGGGGGACAAGGACGAGCGCGCCATGCGCATGGCGGATTTCTGGCTGACCGTAAGTAGCCCCCAGCCCCTCATCGGTCCCGGCCCGCCGCGGAGCCGGGGCTGAGCGTGCCGCCCCGCAGGAGAAGGACCTCATCCACAAGCTGTTCAAGGTGCTGGCGCCCCGCTTCCAGCCGCACGCCGGCAGCTACACGCGGCTGCTGCAGATCCCCAACCGGGACGGGCTGGACCGCGCTAAGATGGCGGTGATCGAGCTGAAGGGGAACCCGCTGCCGCCGCTCGTCCGCCCGCGCCGCGACTCCGACAGGACCCTGCTGAACCAGCTGCTCAAGGGGTACCGGCAGGACGCGCAGCGGGCCCGCGGCACCCCCGTCTAGGGCCCCCCGTGCCCCAGGGAAGGGATGGTGTGTGAGGCAGGCAGGAGGGCTGGAGGGCGAGGGAAGTTGCCATGGAGAGGGCTGCTGAGGGTCACCACTTGCTCCCGGTCATTTGGAGATGACACTCAGCAGGGAGAAGGAAATCAAGCTGGGAGCCGTGATGATTGGTATTTTCTGTGTAAATAAACTTTGTTCAGAAAGTCGGTTTGCTTGTATTTGAGTTGTGTTCAGAGAATCATTTAGGGCAGAAAAGACCTCTGAAGGTATCAAATGCAGCCTGTGACCAAACACCACCGTGTCAACCAGACTATGGCAGTAAGTGCTGTATCCAGTCTTAATTTTAACATCTCCAGGTGTGATTGGAACCATTTCTCCACCACGTCCTGGGCACTTCCTTTGTGTCTGTTCACCCCTTCTGTGAAGAAATTCTTCTAAATGTCCTAAGTAAACCTCCCCTGACTCTGCATAATTCCTGTGCTTTTTAGTTAATAGCTTATTCCAGAAAAATGGATTTGCTAACCATGTGTTCTAGGAGCCAGTGTTCAGCATTTCAAGATGGGAAGTTTGGTGAGAAATAAGATACTTCTGCTGTTTAAGAAGCACTGAATGCAAATAGGATGGTAACACTGAGCTGAGTACCATAAAGAGACACCAAAAGAAACTTGTCTTATAAGATGGTGACAAAGGCATGAGTCATAGTAATCCAGCAAGAGCTTGACAGGCACCCCAGCTTCTAAGGCAGGATTGCAAGACATCTCTATTACTCTATTGGAACAAAAAGGAGAGTAGCAGAACTCTTTCAGAGTGATATAACTACTGAGCAATAAGAATCTTAATTTGTTAGCTTTGTCTTTAATTTCAGGCACAGCTAGTACTTGAAAGTCCTAGCTGTAATTTTGAAGTGAAAGAAAAACCAAAACGAAACCCAAACATAAAATCACAGGATGGAATACCCAATTGGAAAGGACTTCAATAACAGCTGGCCCAACCTTTCATGGCAAAACACAGTGGAACCAGTGTGGCTTCCTAAACTTTGTTGCATTTCTTCCTCCCAAGTTTCACAAATTTAAGAGATTTATACAAGTGGCCCTGTGTAGCAAGCTAATTGTATGGAAAGACAAAGAACCCCCATTATATATTCTCTCCTTGAGACACCTCACATAGTACCAGTTCTGTTTTAATAAACATGAGTAAGAAATTAAGGATGGGTGGTACTGCTTAAGGAAGAAGAAAAAACAGTCAAACTACTACAAGGTCAGTCAGACAGACTTTAATCTTTTTGTTTCTAATAACCTTGAAAGTGTTCTCTTTGCAGTTGACTGTATTCAAATAGATATTTTCTGAACCAAACTGCTGCACAACTTCCACATGATTAAAAGTCTATGCTGAGGCTTTAACAAAATACCAAAATTCCTTTAAAAAAACATTTAATGAGGGAAAGCAAGTCACACTCCCATTTGTTTGACCTTAAGTTATCTTGAGTTTTACTAAAGTGCAAAAAAGCTAGAAGCTTCTAAGCTAAATTGGGGGAAATCCTTGATACATGGGGGTTTTTGTGCACAAATGATTTTTTTTGCAGTATCTGTGTGAACCTTAGGGCAGCTAACAAAGCGTTCATAATCTCACAAACACAGTGTGTAGTCCTCAATCCAGTGCTACTATATGTCCCTGAACATTTTTATAAGATTGTGGAAGCGTCTGCCATGAGGGTGGTTGTCCTGCCAGTCTGCCTTGTACTCGGTTGGGTCAGGCTTTCAGCTGCCTGCAGAGCAAAACAAAGGGGAAATTCAGTTAATGTGGGAAATCTGTCCTCATTGTTCCCTTGTGTCCTGGCTGCCAGGGTCAGGCTGCTTCCATCGCCCTTATAACCACACAGGTTCAGTGGTCACTTCCATGTCCTGTCCTCCCCCTCTGGAGCCTGGATGCCCACCTGACTGCAGCTGTGAGATTCTGGTACCAGTCATTGATCTCTTGTTGGTTGCTGGACATCAACAGCAGTGTCTTGTGTGGAAAGGAAAGCTGAAAAACAAGCAGAATTTGTGGCATTCCTTGCCAAGGCAGCAGCTGCAGTAAAAGGAAAATCATCGCCACTGAATTCAGTCCCTGCATGCTGATTTTTACCCTCTTTCTTCCCACACAGAAAAATTTAGTCTTAATATTATAATAGTCTTATAATAGAGTGAAGCCAGAGACTGTACAGTACAGAACAAGTGCCAGTCTTGTCCATTGTTTCCAGTCAAAGTTGACAGCTCATTCTGACCTGTTTGGAGGTGAGCAATTAGAATTCTCGGCAGCTCATCCAGTTTCCACCATATTCCATGTCCCTAGGGCTCCTTCCACTACCATCATCTTCAGGTCACAACTTGCTCAGAGTTCTTTGTCATTGCTCACAAGAAAAGAGCTAACACAGCCCCAGGCGCAACCTTGGAAGAGCTGACTTTTAAACCCCTGCAGAGGGGGGTTGCAGAGAGAAGGCTGGTCCCTGTCAAGGAATCTGCAGCCCTCAGGGAGCTGGATGCACAACATCTGTTGCAATAATATCCACATCTTTTTCATTCTCTGTTTTTCTATGTGTTCAGTCTGTAATCAGTGTAATTCATTGTCACACGAGTGTGGGGCTGTCCCCCAGACCTGTGGCATGATGAGGGCTCTGATGAGGGCATGTCAGAGTCCTGGTGGAGCCTCCTCACCTGAGCTAAGTGAAGCAACCAGCAGCCTGTACCCCAGAGTGTGCAGGAGGCGCCACTCCACGAAAGGAGAAGTACCTGCATCACTCAAGAAGGGAAGGGTTGTCCTAACTCAGACTTGCTCACTGCATTTTGTCACCACTGTCATCACCTCAGTCCCTCTGCTGCTGAGACAGCTGGAGACCTGCTTACAGGGCTGACTCCACTGGCACTTCTGCCTGGCACAGGTGGGAAGACTTACACTGAGGAGCCCTCCCTGGCTCCACGTGTGGCCGAACACTTTATCCACTGAGCACTGGTGGAGTGGATAGACAGCCTGGCAGGACAGTTTGTTGGAGTTCAGCAGGTGCAGCGGGTGGCAGGGCTTCGCTGCAATGAGGATATCAGAGAACAGGAAGAACATCCTGCGTTTCAGTTCTTCTCCCTTTGCAGGCACCACCAGAAGCCAGCCTTCCCGGATATACCAGCGCCCTGGGCATGGAAACAGAGACAGCTGTGAGAGCTGAGGGAGGGCAGGCAGGAGTAAAAAGGACATAATGAGACAAACAGGAATACGGGGTGAGCCACCCTTGTAGGCCGCCGTGTTCTACATCAATTCCAGCCACTAGAAGGCACTGGATGTCAGCTAGGTCCGGCCAGATAGCGCCCGTGCAGAAGCAGAAACCAGCTCAAAACATTTAGTGTATGAGGAGCAGCTGAAGTTGTTATAAATCTGCTATTTTAACTAAGAGGATATTATCATATGTAAGTCTGTTTAAAGTGATCAGAATAAAAACACAGTTTGAGAACAGTATGCATACCTTTAAATTAACATAAGCCTTCAGAAAACACAACATGAACTATCTCAAATTGTGTTGCCGACAGAAAGTAACTTCAGGTTTGAAAACTTTTCATATTTTCCTTGTTTTGTGTGTGGTAATAAAATAAATAAGCTCAGTGGTATAACAGAAAGTAACTTCAGGTTTGAAAACTTTTCATATTTTCCTTGTTTTGTGTGTGGTAATAAAATAAATAAGCTCAAAAAACCTCCCCAAAACAAAACAAAACCATATTTCACAGATCATCTAACTATATACAGACCTACAGTAGCAAGAAAATACCAATTGCAGATTACTGTTCTAAAGAGAAGGCATGAAATGAGATAGAAAATGAGGAAGGTCTGCATAGGCAACCTTATCAACCTCTCTTGCAAAACAGAGCCCAGTGTCATCCACCTATGAAATTAATTGTGATTTAAAAAGAGCAAAAGAAAGCAAGAGGGAAGTAATCAAAATAATTTGATAAACCTAGCTGTAAGCAGCAATTAAAAATTAATAATAATGAAATAAATAAAATAAAGCAGGACTTCTTACTAAGATTATTGTAGAAGATAGCCATCAACTCATGGGAATTATGAGGACGCCTGCCAGGAAGATTATTTATAAAACTGTTCTGGGTGATACAGTATTTGTCCTGAATGTAGAGGGCAGCAAGAAAAGCAGGGTCTCCTTAGTGGGAGCAGGATATCTCAGAGACACCGGAAAACGAGAGATTCCCATCTCCAACACTCCCTCTTTGTTCTGAACCCACAGCATTTTGGTTTGTCTCATGTTCCTTCCTGGCAATAGGACACAATCTTAACTGTCCTGCAAAAGCTATTTTGTTTCTGGAAAGCTGGCCCAAAACTAGCAAGCGCCAGCTGCCTCTTACATTTGTGCTTCTCATATCCAATGATAACTATGTAACTCCAGCCAACGGAAAACATGACTACAAGAATTCTCTGTCCTAGATAATGGAAATGCCTTTACTGACCCTCAACACTTATCCTACTATGTCTAAGAATTTTCAGAGACCAAAATAATCGGTGGACCAAACACTTTGACAATGGCCGTCTTTGGTCTAGTTATACTGCTTTGGGGTGTTTGTTTGAACTAATGTTTGTTTGTTTGGGGTGTTTGTTAGAACTAATCTTATTAGTTCTAACATTAATCAGGATAACTGATTGACCTTTTTACTTACACACTACCCCAAACGTGCCCAGGCACCCCCACACATGCTTCTGCTCAGCATAATCAGAGCATACCTGTGTTAGCTCCCTTTCACCTGGCAGCACCAAATATTCTAGGGACAGGAAAGAGAATTGTAAATTAATTTGCCCATTGATTGAGCATCTTTGAGAATAACCTCTGATAAGTAAACTTTGTTCTACCTATGCTGATTTGGTTAGGAAAGAGTTATCTTTTCCCATAGTGGCTGGTTTAGATTTGCACTAAAACCACCATTGACACCACAGGGATCTTTTGTTTATTTCTGTGTAGGCACTGCTCAGTGTCAAGGTCTTTTCTGCTCCTCAAGCCACAAGTGAGGAGATTGGGAGTGCACATGAATGTGGGAAGGGTCACAGCTGGGACAGCTGATCCAAAATCCCCAAAGGGACATTTTATATCATATGGCATCGTATTCAGCCTGTTATGCTGGGGAAAGAAGAAGGAAAGGGGGGAGTTTTAAAGTGCTGGCTCTTGTCTTTCCAGGTAACTACAATGTGTGGTAGAGCTCTGGGCAGAGCCCTTTCCTTGGAATAGCTGAACACCTGCCTTCCCATGGCAGATGGTGGATGAATTCCTTGAATGGTTTTGCATGCATGAACAGCTTATGCTTTACTTGTTAAACTCTCTTTATCTCAGCCCACGAGCTTTGCCTGAGTTTTTCCCCATCCCAGTGGGGAAAGATTTTTTCATCCAAAATCCACACATGTTAATTACGACTACATTGACAAGTGCCTGGAGGTTCTTGCATTAGAGACCTTCACACACAGTGACTTTAACACTCCTCTGCAGCTGCAGCACTGTGCCTGGATAACCTCTGAAATAGCAGAGTTCAGTGAGGCCACAGGTGAAACTCCAAATGACCATCTCATAATTGCTCAGACTGGGCACAGTTCTCACAATATTTCCTACACAGCTCAGAGTGTGGTCTGGGCATGGAGAGCACCCAGTCACATAAGAGACCTATCCATTGAAATGTTCTTGCATGCCAGTGACTGTGGCTTTAACTATCCCAACAATCAACACAAGCACACTGATTTCTGGCTCAGTTTAACCATGCAGATAAAAGAAAATTCTTCATATGAAGGGTGAGTGCAGAATGCCATTAATCTTGTAGCTTAATGTGAACAACACCACAGTTCTTGTGCCTTTGACACTCAGGAACCTGTGATTTCTGCAGTGGAGTAGGGATAATGCCACTGCTTACACTCAGCCAAAAGAATTTAGTGTCTCTCTTTCATTCCCACCCAGAACTTACACTCCTGATCTTCTTGGGTTTTCTAACCAGATGTCATCAGCTTCTCCTATCTGAATGTCAGGCAATTAAGCTGTTGCTTATCCTTACTCAAAAATTCTTGATTAAAAAAAAAAAAGAGTGCTAGAGTGCTTTAATTAGTAGTCATGCTCCTTTATCACCTATCTGGAATTTGGGCAGAGAGAAAACTGGTTAATGTGAGTTGAATCAGAAATATCAGAGATGAAGGAGAACATATGTACACATATCTCAGCACGGCAGAAGAAAAACAGAGTTGTCAGTAAGACCCACCTGCAGTCAAAACCTGAGTCTTTTGTCCTTTGAGCAATTTCTGAACCCTAAGAAGCTGCAAGGAGTTCTCTCTCTTATCAAAGATGTCTTGGACCCAGTGAGATACCTCACAAACAGATTTCACAGTCTCTGAAATTACAGCAGCATACATTGAAGTTATCACAAATGAATGTGTATTTCACCTTATTATACATCTTGCTAAGAAAAGACAGCATGAAATTAGGAAGAAAAGTTTTAAACCAAGTATCAACAACAGCTTATTCAGAAATTTCTGTGAAAGATTGGACTAGAACACCTCCAGAGGCCTCTTTCCAACCAACAATTTTGCAGTTCTAGAAAACACTTGCCAATGAAACATCAGAGAGAGGACTAATTTCCTGGATTTGGAAGCAAAAACAGGAAAATGCCCTACAAGTGGTGTTGACTGGTTGTAAAAACCACAGAATCATTTAGATTAGAAAAGACTACTGAGATAACTGAGTTAACCTAGGACTGAATACCTACTTGTCAAGTAGAAATGGCACTGAGTGTCATTTCTTGAACATTTTCAGGGATGGTGACTCTACCACTTCCCTGGGCAGTCCATTCCAGTGTTTAACAACCCTTTCCATGAAGAAATGCCTCCCAGTCTCCATTCTGAACTTCCCCTAGCACAGCTTGAGGCCATTTCCTCTTGTCGTCCTGTTGCTTGTTACCTGGAAGAAGAGGCCAATCCCCAGCTGGCCACAACCTCCTTTCAGGTACTTGTAGAGAGTGCTCAGGTCACCCCTTTTCTCCAGACTAAACACCCCCATTTCCCTCAGCCATACTTCACAGCACTCATGCTCCAGACCCTTCTCCAGCTCCACTGCCCTTCTCTGGACTCGCTCCAGCACCTCAGTGTCTCTCCTGCAGTGAAGGGCTCAAAACTGGACATGGCATTTGAGGTGTGGCCTCTCCAGTGCCCAGCACAGAGGGGCAGTCACTGCCCTGCTCCTGCTGCCCACACCACTGCTGATACTTTCAGGATGTCCTTTGGCCTCCTTGGCCCCCTGGGCACCCCCAGCTCATGTTCAGCCACTGCTGACCAGCACCCCCAGGGCCTTTCCCACTCAGCAGCTTCCCAGCCACTGTCCCAGCTGGAGCTGCAGGGGCTGCTGTGACCCAGGGACAGGAGCCAGCACTTGGCCTGGTTGAACCTCACACAACTGGCCCTGGCCCGTGGGTCCAGGCTGTGCAGATCCCTCTGCAGAGCCCCCTGCCCTCCAGCAGATCAGCACTCACACCCAGCTTGGTGCCATCTGCAAACTGGCTGAGGGTGCTCTCGATTCCCTCGTCCAGATCATCAATAAAGATAAACAGGACTGACCCTGATACTGAGCCCTAGGACATTTCTAGTGACTGGATATAGCATGAAGGTCATGAATTATCCTAGAAAATTGAGGCATGCTACCAAGAGAGTTAGAGAATGGTTTGGGTTGGAAGGGACCTTAAACATCATCTTGTTCTAACCGACCTGCCATGGGCAGGGACCTTCAAATACATCACATTGATCAGGACCATATCCAGCCTGGCCTTGAACTCTTCCAGGAATGGGGCATTAGCAAATTCCTTGCGCTACCTGTTCCAGTGCTTCATAAGTAGCAGAATATAAAAAAACCCAGCTGCAATTTCTCCAACCTAAATATTAGGCCATTTTCACAGGCAGTTACTCCATATTTTTATTCCTAACATGTTCTCAGAGACATCTTGATCAAGATGGAGAAGGAAAATAATAATCCACTAGAACCCCAGAGAGAGAGGAAGATTTTTTTTTCCTTTGGAACCAGGCAGTATTTGGGAGTCTGGTGCCAGTACTTACTTGTAAGTTTAGTGCCAGTACTTACTTGTAAGTTTATGGTACTCAGCAGTGTCTGGGCTGGTGTTCTCCAGCAGATCTCTGAAGAAATGCTTGTACCTGAGGTGGAGAGAGCAGGTTTAATTCACAACAAGATACCAGGAACAGCAGCAGCACCTCCTGTTAGCACAGCACAGTGAACAACACTCAGCCAGGAGACAGAGTAAGCCTAACCAGGCAGTTTTGGTCACACTTCATTCATTCATTTTATCATCAAATATCTCAGCTAAAATAACCCGAGTATCCTGTACATCTGCAAACTTTGTCTTTTCCTGGGGATGATACAGAAGCAGACTCTCAAATCACTTAAGATCATGAGGCCGTCTCAGAATTCACATGTTTTGTTATTGCTTTCAATAAGCAACAAATTTCTCTTTGAACTATCTATTTTAATAGTATCTGAATGGTGGTATTTATATAATGTTTCCTGCCCACACAACAAAATAAACGCATTTCTATAAAAACTAGGAACTGCCTTTTTCTTTTTTCCTTTCCAGTCCTTACTGGAGAGGATAAGATCTCTGCAAATGCTTTCTCCCAGTAAAGTCAAACAGAAGGAACTTAACAGATTCACAAACTGGCAGAACTCATATGACCTCGTGCATATGTTAAAAGAGTTTTAAAGAAATTTGAACATGATAGAATTGATTAATGAAAAAAATGGGACTTTCTATCAAAAAGCTCACATTTTTCCAAACATTTGGACAGCAACAAATATACTGCTGTTTTGCAAATTTAAAACAATTATCCAAAGAATTACAGTAAAAACCCACCAATCAGTTTCATGTTTACTTCTGCCAAGCTGATTAAAAACATTACAAAAAGTTACATGAAAGACTGTGGTATGATCTCTCCAAATTATTTTCAAAGAAAAGAGGTGCTCAATCTCTCACGTTTGCTTTAGTGTAGATAAGATCATGGTTGAAAAACAGCTATTGGATCTATAGCAGCAGAATCTGCGTTCCCACCATTATTACCCACACACCCTCCCCAGGAAAGGGCTGCCCATGGGGGCATGCAGCACTCTCCTCAGGCAGTCAGTCTGCCTCTTCAAAGGGAAGATGATCATAGAATATCCTGAGCTGGAAAGCATCCACAAGGATCGTCAAGTCCAATTCATGCCTCTGCATTTTTAAGACAACCCTACAAATCACACGTGTCCAATGATGTTCTCTAAACATTTCTTGAAGACTGGAAGTCTTGGTGCCTCAAGAGGGAGATACAGCAATCCTGAGTGGATCTGTCCAGGCTCAGACAAATGTGATAGGCATCAAATCTGACGAAAGCATGCGGCCCTGATAACCAGAGAGGAAAGAGAATCTCTCCTTCATTAATCTCATTTCTCTCCAAAAAGAGCCAAGAGCCAATCTCCAATAGTCACAAGGCTCCAGGTCAGCAGTCTGCATAAAAATGGAGCAAAAGCATTGCTGGCAGAGACCATCACTTCTGCAGCACTTCAGTCAGCTTGCTTTCAGTCAAAGCCAAACTTCAGTAGCTTACTGAGACAGCAGAAAGCATCCAATTCTACCCAAGAGCTAGAGGAAGAAGCCAGGGCTAAATACAACTGCCTTCCTGCATCATATCCCATCCATGCAAACTGATTCCACTTTACAGGCACATCTTTAGGTCTGTTTCATTGGAGTCTCTATGCTCTGATTTTGAGATGCAATAGGCAACTTTCCCTTTCATAGCAACAAAGATAGTGATGTATTCATTTTTCCCTTCTTATGCTAATTCCTTGAAGACTCACAATTACTTACTGGTGCAGCCTTTGCAGGGGCAAAGGAAGCAGATCCTCTAGCTGCCTCCCTTGAAACTGAGGTCGAGTCTCCTGGAGCCTCTTAAACCGACGGAATGACTTATTTTTCCTCACTTGCTCCTGTGTGCAGCAAAAAAGGGATTTAGCTTTGAGACTACGAAAGAACTATGTGCCCTGGTCTTTACCAGAAGCTGGAACACTTCAGCTTACAGTTTAGGACTCCAGGCCCACAAGCATCAACTTCTTTTGTGGCTATGGGCAAGCCACTGCCTTTCTCCTGATCGTTTATTTCAGTGGGTAATGGAAGTGATATCTCCCCTCCATACATGAAATCAAAGAAAAAGATGAGGTTGACCCAGTTAGGAAAACAAGGAGTGCACTTGTGGCTTTTTGCCATGCCTTTCAACAAAAAGCAATGCACATCTGCATTCCTGTCACCTTAAGACAAGTATCCAAAAAGGCTTTTCCTCTTGGAAAATGAAAAACATGAATACATGCATGCAAAGAGGGAAACATCCTAGTACATTCTGCATCTGGGAACATGCACTGACAAAACTGGGAGCTGAGTGGTTTAAACTCCAGATACAGCTGTCACGACTGTGGAATGAATAAATAAATATATATATACATATATATTCTGCAGAAATTAGAAATTTCTTGAAAATAGGTTGTATTTGAAGACATAAGTGGGAAGGAAAAAATGGTCTTCAACATAGAAAAAAAATGTGAAGGAAGAGGAAATCCCACTACCGGGACACAGTTGGTGGTAATGGGAAAGACTAGGAGACCTGACAATTCCTAGAAAGAGATCACTGTATCGTAGTGAAAGCCTGGAAACTCTCTAGACTTGCCAGTTAGGAAGGAGTGGGAGTAAATACAGAACACTGTTTCAGAAAGCAGTGCTCACCATATGCACATACATACGCAAACACCTGAAAAGGCATCAGAAATTTGAAGCTCTAAGTAGAGTAGTTTTCACCATTTTATTGTGGAAGAAAGCCAGAATTTCATCAAGCCAGAAAAAGTAAGAAAACTGATCTCTCCAGAGACAGAAAACAAATGGAAAGATGTGGCAGTTTCACAGAATGAAAAAAGAGAAACCATATGAAGACTAAAGTACATATTTACCTTCAAGGCTTTACTTGCATGCTCCAAATTCTCAGCATAGTGGCCATAAAGATCCAGACTCTGGCAAAAATTTTCCAGTCCTGGTCCCAAATTCCCTTTCTCTAGGTGAAGTGACAGAACACTGGGCACAAGGAGCAGAGATATAGCTTGTGAGGGATACATTACTGATGGCATTTTCACAGCTCCTTCTGATTCCTTCCTTTGCTGACCTGCCTTTACCATTTTCCACCCCATATCCAGTTTCTATACCAAATTTGTGCTTGAAGGCCAGAGAGTAAGCACAGAACACCTTGTGGAACTGGCATACTGAGCTTAAACCACTGTCCCGTAACTGGGCACCCAGACATGTGATACAGATCAGGAGTTTGCTGGGGACACCTCCAAGCGCCGCCAAGGCTAGCAGTGCTAGAAGTGAATGCCTCTTTTACAAGGGGTTAGCCTTATTTCCCCAACTCTTACTTTCTCATCAACAGAGGGTCCTCCCAAAATAATTACAGGAATTCCATCCTATGTCCACTTACTGACTGGCTGAATATAAGGACTCCAGGGGTCCAAATATAGTTTCCAACACAGCAGGCTTCAGCGTCCCTTTGGCCTTTAAAATTGTCACAAAGTACTAAGCAGGAAAAAAAAATATTTCAAACAGGTAGCATTCACAAATCAGCATAGAATCACTTAATGGTTTGGATTTAAGACCACCTAGCTCCCCCCTCAGCAGAGACATGTTCCAAGCCCCCTCCAAACTGGCTGCTCACTTCCAGGGATGGGGCATCCACAGTTTCTTTGGGCCATTTGTCCCAGTGCCTCACCACCCTCACAGTAAATAACTTCTCCCTAACATCTAATCTAAACCTACTGTCTTCCACTTTAAAACCATTCCTCCTTGTCCTATCACTATGTGCCTGTGTAAAAAGTTACTCTCCCTCTTTTTTATAAGCCCCCTTCAAGTATTGGGAGGCTGCAAAGGTAATTAACCTCTGAGGTCACTCAAAGGCCACTTGTGGCACACAGCAGAAGCCAGAAGTTGCAGCCTGAACACTCTCTGTCTTGGAAAACTATCAAATATTGTGACTGTCTACCTAAGATATGCACCATCAGACGTAAGCCTTACTTGTAGCTCTGACCATAACTGTAAACCCATGGAACAGTACCACAGCACTGAAAAGAGTTTATTTCAGTATACTCCAATGCATCTGTTTTTCACCATCTTGTTCATAATTTTTTTCTGTGTCCCTACGTTTCATACATCTCAGGCATCTTAGGGAGAACAACATATTCAATCAAAACTTAAAAGATTTATGTCTGTGTAGAGGCCAAGGCCAAAAAGCCAAACCCATGAGCTATTGAATATTACAGAGGAGGTAAAAGAAAAACAACAAAAAACCCTTTCAGCCCCAGCAGGTGTCCCAGGCATTAGGGATATACCACTGTCTTGCTCTTGACCCTTGCCCATGGCAACACGAATAAGTATGTGCTGTCTGGAGGCACCCAGATATCAGAAGGGGCAGAAATACTCACTGTGAGCACTAAATCCAGCTGTTCAAGGTATTTGTGTTCTGTTTCCAGCAGCTCCTTGGCTGTCCTGCTGCGCTTTCTCTCCCAGCGAGCCCGCTGGTCTTCCACAGTGTTTGCTCCGACCACAAATGGTAGGGATGAGGCACTCATGGCAGAGTCAGGGTTGATACACAGGGAGGGAAAGGATCCTGGAGAGCCAGGCAAGATGGGCACACAGCAAAAGAATAACCTACGTTGCAGAGTAGGATTCTGAGCTAAAAACTCAACACCTTCCTAGGAAATAAGGACAGTCAGCTGCCAGCAACAATTATAAACAATTTCCTTCTGCGTTCCCTCCTGTAGGCACAGAGGCCCTTCCTCAAACAGAGGAACACCAGCAGGGAGACCAGGCTGTGAAAGCAGCAGCAGTATATAATGATTCATCTGCAAGCAAATCTCAGTGCACAATCCCACGTGCAAACCACTGCTTCCTGGGCCTTGCCCTCCCCATTCTTTGCTTGAAATTCTTGTTAAACTCTAAAGTTTGTGGGTGGAAGAGGTATAGGAGCGTGGATAGGAGTAGAAAATAACCATAAGATTTGTCTTGAGGGGGAACTGTAACAGGACTTCGCCTGTACCACAGGGAAAGAGAAGAGAGCACTCTTGCTTGTTTCCCCATGGAGGTTACTAAGAAGCCAGTGGTTTGCTTTGTCATTTTCTAACTGTTCTTTGTGCTCCTGGAGGTGAGAGAGGCCTAGCAACTGCTGTGAATCATGCTAGATTCGTTCTGCTCTCCTGCAACAGTATCATGATTTTGTTGTGTGGAAAAACATTGTTTATCACGCTCAGAGAAAGAGGCATGTTTTAGCAGAACATTAGATATTGTTGTCTATTATTAGATATTGTTACTGTTCTTTTGATGAAAAGGCAGTGCAGGCAGTTGCACACTTGCCCCAGCATCAATTCTGCAGTTTTGCCGGAATCTGAGTTGCCTCTGAAAAGTTCTGTTTCCCACATAGACAAGATACACTAATACAGAAAGATGTGTCATCATAGAGAAAGAGATTTGTCAAACACCATCTTCCAGAGACATTTCAGATGCGTAAATCAATATCTGAAACAAAATTTTCACATTAAATGAGTACCAGGACTCATTTAATGAGTTGCCAAAAGTCCAGAGAGCTGAGGGATATGCACATGTTTTATAGTAGCAGCAGTTTATCCAGAGCTTGCCCTTATATTCACTTACAGCACAACCACAAGCCTAGCCAAGACCACATCTTGGTCAAACAGGGCAGACCTAGCCTGGATGGAGAGGAACAGTGCACACTGCAGTGCAGGGAACACCACCTTGAGCTTAGCCTTAGTCCAGAAGTGTTCAAGGCCAGGCTGGATGGGGCCCTGAAGCACCCTGTCTGTGGAAGGTGTCCTAGGGCTTTGCAGGGCTGTGGGATGGAGATGGTCTTTAAAGTCCTTTAAAGGACTTCCCTAACCCTAACCAAAACCATTCCATCATTACATTCAAGTGCAGTTACAAAATACTCACCAGTAATGAACTAAAGTGCTGCCATTCGCAGAGCGCCTCTAGCGCAGGTACACTGCAGTCAAGGCTTTCATTTCCCAGACCAATCAATTCTTTTAACACATAATAATTAAAACAAACAAGTTATACCAGGTTTGACCATCTACTGCTCACGTAAAGAAATTCTAACACTCCCATTATTGCACAATATATTCTGTGTGAGGTCTGCAGGGTGAGAGCTGTCTGCAGCCTGTGGGTACACTAGAAAACACTTGACCCACAAGTGGCAGAACTGCTCCAGCTTGCTTCTCCCCAGCTCACGTTCAAAAACCACTGAACACCCTCTATTACTGTTAACTATCTATAGTACACCATTAGCAGCATCCCCTTCACCATTTCTAAATTTTTTGGGTACCCTCAAAAGATGTCCTATTCTTATTGCACAGCCTCTTTGGTGTCTCAGGAGCGTAAACACACAGTGAGTCAGCTCCAAGGGATGGCTGCTCATCCCACACTGCGAGGTCAGAGAAAGGGGAAGGGAGAAACCCTGGAGCCCACAGCCACTCCTCAGCCACCCCGAGGACTAAAGGAGTAAATACTGCAGGAGTTAATACTGGAAGTAAAACACGCGCCTAGCCTTCCTTAAATTCGCCTGTGCTGCAGGGTACTAAAAGTGTATTTTGGATCAGTCAAAACCAAGGGTACTATATTTTTTCAGTAGATGATAAAAGATGCATTAAAAGTCTTGCAGGATTGAACAGAAAGCTACTCTTTACCAAAACCGAAGTATTTTACTTATTATCAGGGTTCTGTTTTGTTTTGAGGTTTTTGTTGCTGTTGTTGTTTTGGTCTTTTTTTTTAATCACATGAAATATGTTTCAAATAAATAAATGTTTCCAGTAATAAAAAAAATTAAAAACCAAAAAAAAAATTAAAAAACCAAAAAATAAAATGTTTCCAGTAATAAAAAAAAATTAAAAACCAAACCACATGAGCACACTAAGAAAACATTTACTAAACTTTAACCAAATGTTTTTCTCTGACTACGACATGAATTCAGGAAATACTTGGTGGAATCAGGGACTAATTTAGCCAAATGGATTTTTATGGGTCATGCAGTTGAGCCTTGTGCCCTAAGCGGGGCTACCACCAAAGTCAGGCTGGGCTACTCAGGGGGTCATCCTGCCCAGGACTTTTCCTCGGGTGGAGATGGGGACGGGACACAAACACCGGTAGCGGTCCTGGTTGTGGTTGCGGTCCCGGTTATGGTTATTGTTATAGTTATGGTTATGACCCCGGCTCCACACTGCCCACGCCGCCCCCGCCGCCCCCGCCGCCCGTTACCTGCCGGTCCCGCCGCCGCCCCGCGTTCAAACGGCGGCTCCGCCCGGGAGGGCGGTCCCGGGGCGGGGCGGGGCGGGGCCGGAGCGCGGCGGGGCCGGGCCGTGCCGAGCCGGGCTGGGCAGGGCAGGGAGGCGGCGGGCAGCGATGGTGCCGCCGGGGCAGCGTGGCCCCTCGCCCGGGAAGGCCGGGGACCTGGCGGCGCTGGCCGAGCTGGACGAGGCGGCGCTGCTGGCAGGGCTGCGGGAGCGCTTCCTGCAGCAGCGCATCTACGTGAGTGCCGGGGGCCGGGGCGGGGGGCGGCGGCGGGCGCTCGGCTGACCGGCTGTCCCGTCCCCACAGACCGACATCGGAGACATCCTGGTCGCCATGAACCCCTTCCAGCCGCTGCCGCTCTACGGGAGAGAGGTGAGCGCCGCGCCCCCCGCCGCGCCCCGCCGCCCCCCGGCCGCTCACCCCTCTCCGCTGCCGCTTCCCCGCAGGTCGCCGAGCGGTACCGGCGCCTGGAGACCGACGCGCTGCCGCCCCACATCTTCGCCGTGGCCAGCCGCGCGTACCACGCCATGCTGGGCCGCGGGGGCGGCGGACCCCGCAACCAGTGCATCCTCATCAGGTGAGCGGCGGCCGGAGGTCCCGGGGCCGGCGGGGGCCGGGGGTGCCCCCGAGCTCCCGCTGGGATCTCCCTGCCCAGGGTTCAGGTGAAGCTCCTCTCCGGTTCTGTTGGTGAGTCAAAATCCATCTGCGCTGGCAACTCATCCTTCATCCCGGCTGCTTTCGAGACAGATGAGCGGGCACGTTGTGAGAACGTGTGGGCAGACAAAACTGGCTTTCCTGAGCAGCTCGGGCAGCAATCTTTATAACAGTAAAGATGCCGAGTTCACTTCTGGTGGGGAACCAGCCGCTGGAATCCTGCTCTGGGAAAAGCTATGGGGTGCTCTGCTCTGGCAGCACAACTTCCATGGTAAAAGCTGTAGTAAAAGTTGGAAGGGTGATAGTGGAAAGAACCAGTTTTCCCAAAGTGAGCTTCCCAAGTGTAAGCAAAGAGCAGGAAGTATTAAAATTTGCTTTTCTGGTCTAAGACCTTTGGGAATATGGTTGGGGAGGATCTTAAAGTCGTGGGCAGTTCTGTGCTCTAGAAGTCAGGGGAAAGTTGTTCTTTTAACCAAAGAGCCTACCAGTATCACAAACATTTTACTCCATTTTGTCACTCTTGGTCTGCTTGAACTCTGCAGCGCAGCAGGTAGCATCATTTAGCAGAGAAAGCCTTAAACAACATCAACTAGAAGAGAAAGCATTGAAAAGTGAGGAGAAAGCCTTGAAACATTAACTGCCTCTTCTCTACAGCTGGGTGTTGTAGAGAACTGTTTAAATGTCCTCCCAATTAAAATGCTACTTGCCAGCTTGTTCGATTTAATGCTCCTTTGTATTTGCCTTCTGATCCTTTTATCAGTACTTTCGGTTTACATGGTGTGGAAGTTGACTGCTGAATCCCTGCTGAGTGTTTTGGTGGGACTGGGAGCTGACTTTGAGGGGCACTTGAGCCCCACTCATTTCTGTAGCCTTCAGGCCATTGGTGCCTGTGCTTTACATGAAGTACTCTCAGCAAGTGGTGGCCGTGGGGTCATGGGTAGAAGATGCACTGCTGGTGCGGCTTTGGGGGATAGAGAGCAGTCATTGTGTTTCTCTTGGGAGGTGGAAGACAAGAAGGAGTAACCTGTGAGAATTTGTGGTCAAACCAGCAGTCTGGTTGTTTTCTGCCAGCAGTTCAGAAATGAATCTGATATACTCCTGTACTTTTACCTGGTCTGTGTGTTACTGTCACAGGAAGTTCATGGTTTTCTTCTCTGTGGGTGGTGAAACACTAATTAACAAGTTTTCCTACATGAGCACAGTTGGGGTGAACAGGGAAGGGAGGATGAGGTCACTCCTGTTAGATCACAGTTCCCCACAACACCACAGAAACACACCAGGATCTGCTGTCCCTGGTGGTCTCTTTGGTGTCTCCAGCTGAGCCTTAGAGGTCTGGATTGCATCCCTCAAAGGTGATGTTGGATGAAGCAGCTGCTGCCAGATCATAAGTGCTCATTGCTACCAAATTGTCTTCAGCCACAAATTCCACTGGCTCCTCTTGCCTTCCCAGTCCCAAAGGACATTAGTCATAGCCTGCATGTGCTGCAGTACAGCACCTGGGTCACCTGAAGATGACTTAGCATTTCTTCAGAGCTGAGGGCAGTTACACACCAGCTGTGCTTGCAGGGCCTTGTGAAGGTGTTGTGCTTGTTGGAGGTCTAAGGTCAAGCTTGAGCCATGGAAGTGCTG